TGGCTCTTTTAAAAATACTTCCCACCCCTCACCCAGCCCAGGAAGAACCCGAGTGGCCTCTGTGTCCAGTCAGACCCTGCATTTTCCACTGCTGCAGGAGAAATGTTTCTAAGCAATCTGAAAGCTAAATTCTCCCTTGATCAAATATTCACTGCAGTGTTTTGAGCCCCTGCACACGTTTTCCTGGCTGATATTGATCCAAGTCAGTGGTTCCCAGTGAGGAGCCTTGCCCTGCCTTGGTGATGTGCAGTGTTGGGAGGGGTGGTGTAGCTCTGTGTAGTCTGTCTGTCCATACCCTTGGGGTGGTCTCAGAGCCACAGGGACCACTGAAACATTTTCCTGCCATTTCTGCCCTGATGCTCAGTAATCCTCAGCATCCTGAACCCCTTCCCAGCTCAGTTTCCTACAGAAACAAAAGGAGGAGCCTCAGCTGATTCCAGCAGTGCTGGGCAGAGCCTTAAAAATACCAATTTCTGGAAACCCCTGGAATGTGGGAGCCTGTGGAATTGCACAATCCCACTTGAACAGGAACCATGGATGGGCACATCCTCCCCAGCCCTGGCTCACATCCCTCAGAGGCTCTCCCACACATCCCTCACCTTTATCAGCTCTGAATGTAACAAATTTCTCACCTGGAAGAGGCATTATTCCATTTCCCTGTGCACACAGCTGGCACTGCCCTTTCTCTCTGCTGCCCTGGCTGTTGGGGGCTGCTCCCAGTGTTCCAATTCCCTTGGAGCAGCACAGCCAAGGAAAAGGAAAGGAAATTCTGTCCTCCCCACCTCGGGAGAGCCCCCAGATCTGTGGTCAGCCCCAGTGCAGGGATTGGCTGATCTCCCTCAGTCCCAACCCTCCCTGGACAGGCTTGGCTGTGAAGATCCCCAAACCTCAGAGCTCCCAGGGGATTGCTGTGCACAGGGGCTCCAAACAGGCAGCAAAAAATGTTAAAGGACTTGTCCTGCCCAGCCTGGAGCAGCCACATGGATGGTGCTTCCCAAGAGCAAACCAGTCTGGTACCCCAAACCCTGCCTTGGTCCTGGTTTGCTTCACTTCTGTAGTTCCAAACTGGATGTTTTGCATAAACTGAGGGTGAAGTTTTGGAGTTTTGTAGCCAGAATTCCCTGTACAGAACTGGAATTCCTTGTTGAGGGTATGGATTTGTCAAAGCCTTACATTTTGTGGTGTAATTGCTATCCTTGAACGCCTCCATTTTTTGACAAGGAGTGTTTTTATCCTTTCTACAAGATCTGCTTTCCCCCTGGCTGGTGTTTGCACGGAAAGGGGAGGGTGCTGTGAGCTCCCTGGAAATTCCCAGTGCCCTCCTGAAGGCAGGAAACCGGCACAGTTCCCCTCTGGCCCTTTTGTTTTCTCCCAGCAGCCGAGCAGTCCCGGGCTGGGTCAGCTGGGAGGGCCCTCTCGGGTTTCAGAGCTCGCCGATGAGCTCATGGTGTGCGCAGAGCACGGCTGGGAGGGAGCTCTGCATCAATCTTTAAAGCAGTTCCCTGCCAGGGCAGCTCCCTGCACAAGCTGGAATTCCATATTCCAAGGGAAAAGAGCAGCCTGGTGTGGGCTGCTGCCACCTGCTCCAACTGCAGCTCTGGGCAGTGAACTCACAGCAATGCTGGGTTATCCCAGGAGCTCCACATTCCTCCCTCTTCTCCTTTTCCAGCAGGTAAAAAAGCTGGGATGGGCCCAGGCCTCCTGTGCCACAGCCTGGAGTGCCCAGGAGGGGCAGAACAGAGCAGGGAGCTGGCAGTGCCCAGGGGGATCCCATCTGCTCCTGCTTCAGAGAGGGAGGCAGGAATTCCTCTGAGCCAGCCCACTGCTAAAGCAATTCCCTTAAATCCTCCTTAAACACTTCTTGAACCAGCTCCATCCGACCTGTGAGTCTGTTTTGTTTCTGTAGCACAGGAAAAGTTATAAAGATCTCTTAAACCCTCAGCATGAGCAGAAGCAGTTCCTGCTGTTGAAATCCATCACAAACTGAACTGGTTAAACTGGTGCAGTCTGTCCAGAGAGTCTGGAATGAGGCATTCCCAGCTGGAAAACTGCACTGCCCTGTGAAAAATGTCCTAAGTGAGGACAGAACAGCCCATAATACTCAATTTTCCTACACCACATCTCTCCCTGATCTCCACAGCAGCCTGGTGTGTACAGAACAACCTGAGGCTCCACACTGAATCCTGGACACACTGTCCATGTCCAGCCCTCCTGGCTGGATCCCAGCTCCCCAGCAGGTGCACAACTTTCCCTGCAGCCACTTTGCTCCCAGCAAAATTGAAATTTGATTTGCAATCCAGGCTTCAAACTCAGCCTTGTTTTTGTGTAACTTTGCTGTGTGTGAGCTGAACTTTCCATCTCATCACAACAGTGACGGGACTCTGGCCATGCCAGATCCAGGGGCTGAGGGAATTGGGAATTCCATGGGAATTGGGCTTCCCTAGGACCAGTCAGCCTGAGAAAAGGAGAGGGATCCTCACCTGCTGCTCCTGCCCTGGGTTTTTACACCACAAAATACAATTTATTTTTTTTTTTTAATATTTATTTGAGTACAGGAGTGAATTTTGATGTGACTTCAGTGTCCACTCCGAGAGAATTACTGAAGTGCTTGAATTTCCCAAGGTTTTTAATATTTACAGGAAGAGACTCTGGAGCTTGATAAATATTCACTGAAAGCATCTGAGGCTTAAATGGCCATTAATTAGTTACACCATTATTAATCACACCTTTATTAGTTACTCCATCAGCAGTTACAGGTGGCAGCAAGCAGAGCAAACCCAGCTGCAGTGGGATTTTATTCCCTGGGTTTTTACAGCATCCCTTTTCCAGTCATCCAGCAGTTTATCACAAAACCCTCCCATCCTCCTTAGTCCTGAGGCCACTGGGAATTCCCCAGTCTCTGCCAGGGGCACTGCCCAGGGAATGCCAGGCAGGGAATGCCCAATTCCTGGCATTTTGCTGATCCAGGACCATTGGGATGAAATCCAGCAGGGTCACTGTGCAGGTTTCTCCTCACCAAAGCAAGGGCAGGGCCTGTGCTCGGAGTTCCTGGAGCTCCAGGAGGCTCCTGGTCCTGGCTGGATGGGGCTTCTCTCTTTTGTAAAAAGAATTTCATATGCTGAGACTCTTTGTACATATTTATAAGGAATTTATTAAAAAAAAAAAGAAAAATAACTGTTCAATGGCAAAAAAAAAAGGCTCTGAGTTTTATTTCCTCTCTCTGGGGAATTTCCTTCCACAGCCTTCCCTGTTTTCCCATGGAAATCAACAATCATTGGAACTGAAGTTTCTCTTGGATGTTTTTTGGTCCAAGTGTCATGTTCTAGGAGAAGGTAGGACCATCCTCCAAAAAAAAACCATCTCAAAATTTAAGAATGCAAACCCACACTGTCCCTTTGATTTCCTGCCTTACCACCAATAAAAACTGAATTTTGAAGCAGTGCATCCCACACTTTCCTACTGGGCTTTTCCTACACTCCTCCAAACACATTTTCCAGGAGCATTTAGGGAAAAAAATTCAGAATGAGAAGCAGCTTTTCAAACAGTTTGAAAGAAGAAACACCAAGCCTTGGGTTCCCTGGCACTGCAGTGACACTGAGGCCTTTCAGAACCTCCCTGCCCGTGCAATCACTGATTTCCCTTTTCCTGGTCAATATTCCAGGCTATCACACACCACATTTGTTATGCCCAATGAAAAATTGCTCCCTGTCATTCTGAACCCTCTCCCATCCCAAAGACAGGGGAGCTATTCCCATTGCAGGGAGCAAAAGGATTCCTTGGCTCTGTTCTCCACTTTCATAGGGTCCATTAGACAAGAATTTGACATCACTTTGGTTTGGAAATTAAAGCTTTTCCTGCTCTGCTTCCCTGGAGCTCCCAAGCCAGGTTTGGACTCTGCTCTCACCACTCTGAGCTTATTTCCACAGAAATGTGGAGCTTCACTCCTGCTCCCATCAGCTCCTGTTGGCTTCAATTCCTCCCTGGGGAGTTCCCATCAGCACAGCCAGAACCTCCTTCCCTCAGGAGCCTCTTCCTGCTGATGGCTCAGGTGGGGCTGTCACCTTCAGCCAGGTCCATGGCAATGAGCTGGGGATGCTGCTGCTCCTCAGGGTGGTTTGGGGACAGGGAAAGCTCCAGAACAAACAGAAGCTCCTCCCTCTGAGGGCTTGTGCTGCTGGAGAAGCTCAGCAGAGAGCTCAGCCACAGGGATGGGGTCATTCCTGTTAATTCCTGCCAGGGATCTCCTCCCTCAGGAGCTCCTGCTGAAGCTCAAGGCTCTGGTTTGCCCTGCTGGAGGAGCACAGGGCAGGGACACTGAGACTGTGAGATGCTCTTAGACAGGCGCTGCATTTCCATCCAGACAAACCCAACTCAACTTCAACCTCCCTCTGCTCTCCCCAGAGACTGGGAAATAGAAAGTCTCAATGTGAAAGTGAAAGAGGAAGAACATTTCCAGGGAAAGGAGGTGTCATTTCCAGCTCCACTGGCAGGGTCCTTCCCAAGATCCCTGTGATTCTCCTAAGGTGACAGCATGTGCCACTTATGGAATCAACTGGAAAAACAGCAGCTGGGAAATGACATTTCTGCAACTGCAGCTGTGGACATGAGTTCTGAAGCACTGCTTGGGAAGAGTTCTCAGAGAGAGGTGCTGTGTAATTCTGTAAAGTGATGGATTCAGGGGATGCAGGCCCAGGGGATGTGGAGCTCCTGAGCCAGAGCACAGCTTTGTTCAGCACTCACAGCTCCCCTGCCCTGGACGTGCTGTGTTTGTCCATACTGAAAGGAAAACAGGAAACATCCCAAATATTTTATAACCCTGTAAGCTCCAGAAACACCCTGGAGTTTGCCACAACATGACCCACACCCCCCTGCCTTCCAGGGTAAAGTTTCTGCCCAGTCACAATTGTTCTGTTGGCTCAGAGGTGGAAGAAGGAATGACAGAGCTGAGCAGGGATCCTGAGATTTTCCTGCTCTGTGCCTGGTGAGCTGCCCTGCTGTCAGTCAGTACACCTGCAGGAGGGCAGGGCTGCCCTGCTGTCTGTCTGTCTGTCAGTACACCTGCAGGTGGGCAGAGGTGGTGCCATCCTTCCAGCAGCGCAGCGTCTCCACGGTCACCGAGCGGCACAGGGGACACGTCTTCTCCCGGTCGAACCACAGGCACAGGCACTCCTCACAGAACACGTGCTGGGGACACAGGGGCTGTCACAGCACTGCCACAGGGGCTGTCACCAGGCCTCACATTGGAAACGGGGCGTGTGTTCCATTTCCCATCTGTTATGGTGGGGCCATTGGGCCCCTCCTGTCCATGGGGCAGTTTTTTCTTTATCTCTCCCACAGCCAATCCTCCCTCCAGGAGATCTCTGCTGTCCATGGGTCATTAATTATTAATTATCTTCTGTCCATGGCCACTGAGTGTCCCTGCAGGGCTGATCCAATCCCAGCATCCCATGGGGAGATGCTCCGCCCAGGGGAGGAGCCAAGCATTCCTCCCTGGATCCAATCTGAGCCTGGCACAGCACAGCAGCCTTTGCCCCCTGCATTGCCAGAGGAGCAGCTTTCTGCTGCCCTGCATTGCCAGAGGGAGCCCAGGCCCATCTGCAGCAGCTCTGGAGCGGCAGAGGAAAACTCCCCCCTTGTGCAGGATCCCTGCTGCAGCAGAGCCACAGCTGGCACTGCAGGAGGGCTGAGCCCCCATGGGATGGGGCTGGCACACCACCCTGGCACACAGGGGGTCAGCCCCTATTCTGACTCTGTCACTGTTGTTTTGTATTACTGCATTTTTATTTCATTTTTATTTTCTTCCCTAATATAGAACTGTTTTTCCTATTCCCATATCTTTGCCTGAGAGCCCCTTAATTTCAAAGATTATAACAATTCAGAGGGAGGGGTTTCCATTTTCCATTTCAGGGGAGGCTCCTGCCTTCCTCAGCAGACACCTGGCTGTTCAAACCAAGGCACACCACCAGCAGGTGCAGCTGGCACTCACAGGGTGTGGGAAATAAACCCCAGTTTGCCAAAGCTCTGGTTTCTAACAACAGCACAAGAAATAAACATTCCAAAGGCCTACAGCACCTGGGCTGGGAGGGTTTTCCTCTACCATATTCCCCTCCTCAGCTCCCTAAGTCCTTACTGAGCTCCCATAACCTCTTTCTTTCCCTTGCTCCTTACATTTGCTTTATTCTGCAGTCCTAGTTTCCCCTTTTCAGTTTTCACCCCTTATCTCCATCTCTGATTTCTGCACTGACCCTCCCTGAGTTCTCCCCATCCAGCCCCAGACTGGGAGAGCAGGAAAAGGGCAAGGAGGGAGCACGAGGAGCTGTGAGGAGCTGGGAACTCCCCCACACACAAGGACTCAGCAGAAATGCCACTCCTCAAATCCCAGCCCTGCCAAGCAGACCCAAAGGCAGCTCCTCAGGGGCTCCCAGCTTGGAAACATCTGCCCAGATGTTCACAGCAAGGCTGAGAGGCACCTTTGGTGCACAGGATGGCTTTAATTTGATAACCCTGTTATCAAAAGGGAGTTTTAATCTACCCAGCCCTCACAAGGGGCAGGTAAAGCTCTGCTCACTGCAGCCCCAGGGTCTGCACTGCCCCACAAGGCTGTGCCCACCCCACCAGTGGTCACCCAGGGCTATTTCCTCCCCTGGAATGGAAAATGGAAACCCTCTCCTTCTGAATTGTTATAATCTTTGAAATTAAGGTGCTCTAGGGCAAAGATATGGGAGTAGGAATAACAGTTCTTTATTAGGGAAAAAATAAAAGTAAAATAAAAATGCAGCAATACAACACCCACCAGGAGCTGGATCAGGAGCCTGCAGGAGTTCCCAGGCTGGCTGTGCCTCTCCTCTCTGCAGGAGCTCACTGAGGGGGTGGCAGCAGGGGAGTTTGGGGGCCTTACCTGGCACAGAAGGGGAGTTTGGGGTCTTACCTGGCACAGAAGGATCAGAGGTTCCCTGAACTCTGCCTGGCAGATGGCACAGATGTCTCCTGCCTCACTGCACTGCTGGCTCGTGGCACGGACCCCATAGGTCTGCCAGGGACAGGGGGGGAAAACAAACCCCAGGTCAAAGGATTGCAAGGGTAAATGTGCACAAAGGGGGGAAAACAAACCCCAGGTCTCAAAGGATTGGAGGGGTAAATGTGCACAAAATGGGGAAAACAAACCCCAAGTCAAAGGATTGGGAGGGTAAATGTGCACAAAAGCTGCTTTTCACCCCCAGATTCCCCACAGGGACAGCAGGGTGGGGAAGGGGGATCTCTGCTCCCTGTCTGCCTTTTCCCTGCAGCTGACTCCATCTTTTAGGGCCTCCACTTGTGCAGCAAGGATAATGGAATTTAATGAGCTCAACAGGGAGCTGAGAGGATTAATTCAGCATCATTTGCAGGGGTGTTTAGATAGAGGGAGGGATTATTATTACTATTATTATTAGCAAGCAGGAGACAATGGAAGAAAGAGAAACAGCAGCAGCACCCACAGGCTGCCCACTTCCCCTTCAGAGACAGGGAAGGGAAATGTTGCTGTCCCACTGTAAGAGATTTAGGGCAAACAGAAACCTGCTGAGGGAAAATGACCAGCCCAAGCCCAGGGAATAAGCAAGATAAGCTCTAACAAACTTTGATGAGGTTCTTTTCCTCTACAGCCTTTGACTTTACCCTTTTAAAATGGAAGTGACTGCAGCAGATCTAAATATCAGCCCTGTGGAATGCAGTGCCTGGGGTAATTCCTGGGTCTCTTTCAGTGCCACTGCACTTCAGGCACCACAAAATCCTCAAAGTCCTTCCCACACTCTGCACTACAAAGTTTTGCAGCTCCTTGCAGTTGGATTAATCCACATAGATGTCAGAAAAGGTCCCTGACATCCCTGACAGGAGCCCCCAGCTTGCCCAGCCATGGGCTAACATTGTTTTATTCTGTGGTCCTGAGCAATTTTCAGTTTTATCATTCAGCAGGAACAAGGTTCCACCTCTGGGACTGCTCCTCCACATTGAATCCTTACCTGGGGGGTGCAAAGGACCTTCAGTGCCTTCCTGACACTTCCCACACGGCCACAGATGTCAAAAGACTGCAAAAAAAGACATCTCATTTTAGATAATTTTCACAGAACCTCTGTGTGTGTGTGTGAGTCCAGAAACTCAACAAACATTCTCCAAATGGATACTCAAGAGGGGAAAAAGTAACAATGGTGCCACAAAAGATTTCATGGTGATCATGAAATATGTAATAAATGGGAATTGACAGTGGGGAAGGGTGGCCAGAAAAGCTCTGGGAGCAGCTGAGTGCAAAGTGGGGACTTTAAAGGACACAGAGGGGGTGGCAACAGGCTGGGCTGGGGACAATTGTCCATCCCAATAAGCAGGAAAGGGCTAAAATGGAGCTGTTCCCATAGGGAAGGGAATAAGGGAAAGGTAAGGAAAGGAAAAAGGGGAAAGGAAAGGAAAAAGGGGGAAGGGAAGGGAAGGGAAGGGAAGGGAAGGGAAGGGAAGGGAAGGGAAGGGAAGGGAAGGGAAGGGAAGGGAAGGGAAGGGAAGGAGAAAAAGGAAAGGGGAAAAAGGAAAGGGGAAAAAGGAAAGGGGGAAAAGGAAAGGGGGAAAAGGAAAAGGGGGAAAAGGAAAAGGGGAAAAAGGAAAAGGGGAAAAAGGAAAAGGGGGAAAAGGAAAAGGGGGAAAAGGAAAAAGGAGGAAAGAGGAAAAAGCCTGAAAACCTAACCCAGCCCATGTTTCTCCTCCCTGCCTGCAGGCAGAGCACAGGGAAAGCTCTCTGAGCTAAAGCAGATGTGAGCAGGTGGCAGTGCAAGGAGCAGCTGGGGCTGGTGGCCCAGCAGGAGCTGTCACCTGGGTCACCTGCAGCTGTGGGGCACAGGGCTGGAGCAGCAGGGCACAGGCACAGCCAGGAGCTGATGCAGTGGGCTCACTGCAGGGAATGCCAATGAGCTCATCCTGCAATGCGAGGGGAAGCAAAGCAGCACCAAGAGCGATTCCAGGCAGCACCCACAGGGCTCAGGGCTCCTTCCAGTAATGCTTCCACTGGGGCTGCCCCTGCCTCAACATCCCCTGTCCTGCTGAGGATGGGCTCAGCCCTTTCTCCCCAGTGCAATTCCCAGCTTTTCCTGCCTGCTTTGCTGACAGCACTACTCCAGTGCCTTTGCTCTGATGTCTCCCCTCTCCCAGCCCATATTCCCCCTCATTTCTCTCCCTCTGGAGCTCCCTGCACACCCAAAAGCTGCCTGTTTCAGAGTGCCCACACCCATTTCTCACCCATTTTTTGTTGTACCAGCCATCACTTCACAGCTGGGTCACACACAGGGAGTGCTGCTGCTCAGGACAGGCAAAAGATCCAACCTGGGTGCTCTCTGTGTGAACACCTGGGATTTCTGCACCAAAAGCAGACAGAGGCACCAGCCCAGCTCCCAGCAGCTCCAAGCAGCCTCTGGAAATGCTCCTGCCCTTTGTGCAGGGAAGGGGACACAACCCCAGCCCATCCTGGGATTCTGCCAGGAGCACAGGAGCTCTCAGTGCCAAGTTGGCTTCTGTGGTTTTTCTAATGTGGTTTGTGGCTTTGCTAATGTGGACTCCTCTGGGGATACTCTCAGTGTCTCAGGCTGGACCTGCAGCTCTGGGGACTGGAAATGGGATGGGCACAGCCAGGGCTCTGTGCCCTGCACTGCCAGAGGAGCTCTCCCTTCCCTTCCCTTCCCTTCCCTTCCCTTCCCTTCCCTTCCCTTCCCTTCCCTTCCCTTCATCTTCCCTTCCCTCCCTTCCCCTCCCCTGCCAGGCAAAGGCTTGGTGTGCACAGGGCTGACCCTGACCTGAAGCTGCTTTTCCAACCCAGATGACCCCAACACTCCCTGTAAAGGCTTCACAGGACAGCAACATCAAGTTAACCCCTAAGGAGCTGCTCCCACCTGTGCCAGGCCTGAGCAGCCTCACCTGGGCTCTCCTCCCACAGCCCCTGGGCCCAGCAGCTCCAGCACAGCTCAGCCCTGGAGGTCTCAGCTCATGGCTGGGTGTTTTAGGCTGGAAATGTAAGATTTAGCTGCGGGTGTGTGTTCTATCCCCATCTGTCAGAGCTGGGGCAGTTCTCTGCTGTTCATGGGGCAGTTTTTGATTTATCCCTCCCACAGCCAATCCTCCCTCCAGGAGATCTCTGCTGTCCATGGCCACTGAGTGTCCCTGCAGGGCTGATCCCATCCCAGCATCCCATGGGGAGATGCTCCGCCCAGGGGAGGAGCCAAGCATTCCTCCCTGGATCCAATCTGAGCCTGGCACAGCACAGCAGCCTTTGCCCCCTGCATTGCCAGAGGAGCAGCTTTCTGCTGCCCTGCACTGCCAGAGGGAGCCCAGGCCCATCTGCAGCAGCCCTGGAGCTGCAGAGGAAAACTCCCCCCTTGTGCAGGATCCCTGCTGCAGCAGAGCCACAGCTGGCACTGCAGGAGGGCTGAGCCCCCATGGGATGGGGCTGGGACACCACCCTGACAGAGAGGGGGAAAGCTCCTATTCTGACTCTGTCACTGTTGTTTTGTATTACTGCATTTTTATTTTATTTTTATTTTTCCCTACTAAAGAACTGTAATTCCTACTCCCACATCTTTGCCTGAGAGCCCCTTAATTTCGAATTTATAATAATTCAGAGGGGGGGTTACATTCTCCTGCCTTCCTTAGCAAACATCTGTCTGTTCAAACCACACACTGAGCTGTGCTCTGAGGTGTCCAGGTGAGCTGTGCCTTGCTCCAGGTCCCCCTGCCCTGCACCCTCCTCATCCTCCCCTGAGCCTCCCTCACTGCTGGGCTCAGGGAATGTAAATGAGTAGGTGTGATTTAGTCAGAGGAGTCCCAGGTGGAGAAATAATTGTATTTCTAGTGCTGTGTGTTGAACCCTGCCCAGGGCCAGGGCAGTGGCTGAATCAAACTCTGATAAAGCAGAGGTTCACCCCTCTGGGAAGGGCCAGGCCTGCTCCATCCCACAGCCCTGGCTGTGCCTGTGGCTCTGCAGGAGCAGCCTGAAAATGAAGAACAGAGAATATATCCAAATTGGAAACAGCTGATGCCCTTTCCTGCCAGCTGTGCTGTTGAGCTTGGCACCCCTTGCTCCATGGGGCAGAATTCCCCACCAGCACCTTCCCCCTCTGAGAGCTTCTCAGGAGCAAGAAATGGCACTGGAACTGCAGCCCTTTTCCAGGGGTTGAGTTATTTTTGCAAGCAGGGGACAGCAAAGATCACTTGAACCCTGTTCTTGTCCACCTGTGTCTGCAGGGAGGGGTGGATGCTGCAGTGGGTCCTGGCAATGACACCTCTGAAAGGGCCCCCAATCCTCTCCCCCAGCACAGGGAGAGGAGCTGGAGGGGTGTGCAGGAGCTGCTCCTGTCCTGGCACTGCTTGTCCTGCTCAGGCCTGCTGTGACCACATCACCTCACTGCCATGGCCTCCTCTGCCTGATCTGCTCACAACAACTGCAAAGCCCAGCACAGGAGGGGTTGCAGGACCCCATTCCTGCACCACACTCTGTAATTCAGCATTGCTCTGCTCCTCTCAGCTGTTTCCAGCTTGGATATATTCTCTGTTCTTCATTTTCAGGCTGCTCCTGCAGAGCCACAGGCACAGCCAGGGCTGTGGGATGGAGCAGGCCTGGCCCTTCCCAGAGGGGTGAACCTCTGCTTTATCAGAGTTTGCTTCAGCCACTGCCCTGGCCCTGGGCAGGGTTCAACACACACCACTAGAAATACAATTATTTCTCCACCTGGGACTCCTCTGACTAAATCACACCTACTCATTAACATTTGTACCAACTTTGTACTCTTATTTTAGAGGAAACCTGAATTACCTCTGTCCATCACTTGTGTCAGCCAGAGCAGGACCTGGAATGTGAGCTGTTTATCCAGGCAGGACTTGGCTGCTGCTTTCCCTCCCTGCTGCTCTCAGAGCTGTGAGTGGCAGAGGAAAGCTCAGAGACAGCCAGGAGTGTGTGCAGCCTGGTTTGTGTGACACCTGGAGGCGTGCAGCTCCCCCAGGACCAGCTCCCCTCCTCCTGCAGCCTCTGAGCAGAGCAGCAATGACTTCATGAGTCTGATGCAACCCTGGGAGCAGGCTCAGATCCTCCCCCAGCCCAGCAGTGCCCACATGCCGGGCAGCTGAAGCAGGGACAGCCACAAGCAAAAGCAGCATTTGTCCCTTCAGCTGTGCTGCTCCCCTGGCCCTGCTGCCAGGGAAGGTGCAGGAGGTGCTGCTCACCTTGCAGAGGCTGTACATGATGATGAGGATGCCACCCAGGAAGTAGCTGCTGGAGGGATCATCCCCCATGATGTATTTGTACCACAGCTGGATGGGCACCAGCGAGCGGAACAGCTGGCTCAGCTCCTCAATGATCAGATAAAACTTTCCCTGCAAGACAACCAGGCAAGTGAGACCAGGATCATTATCAGGAAGTCAAAAGAAGAACATTTCATTTGTGCAGGGCTGGTGTTCAGTGATCACTGCACTGTTAAATGGTGCAGAGACCACGCTCATGAGATGCAGCTTTCCCTCAGCTCTGTGCCCAGACAGGAAAAACATCCCTTCATTCCTCCACAGGGCTCAGCTGAACACCAGCAAAACAAATCACTAAAATATTCACTTATTTTTTTACTGAAATTTGAAATCAATGAAATCTGCTATGCAGCATTTTCGAGTTATAAACTTTAGAGCAGGCAATAAATTGTGTGTCTGGACAATGCTGCAGAAAAACAAAGGTTAATATGGGATTAATATGATGTAAACTGTAGATATTATTATTAGTGAGAAAAGGAAAGCAAGTTTATCTCTGACCTTACACCCTTCTGAAGGTACAGGGATTAAATGTAAAGTGACCCCAGACTTCCTGACATCTTTTTAGGTAATCTCAAATAAATGAATTATGTTTGCCAGCATCCTTCCCCTCCCCTCAGGTGGGTGTTGGCTCTTGGGCAGTGCACAGATAAAAAAACCTGGAAATTAAACCCTCAGGGCATTGAAAACTCAAAGAGACCAAACCTTCCTGAAGAGCTCAAGGAAGGAAAGGTGGGGAGGGGCAATGTGCTGCTTGAAATGCTTCTGTCTCAAAAGAGACTCAAAGAATGGGCAGCATCCTTTGTCAACCTTCACCAAAGCCTGAATAATTGTCTAATTTAGGGCCACCCCCAGTTTGTTTTGTCCCATTCTGTTTGCAGGGACAGCTGGTGGCAAACGAGCCCAGAAGGATGCTTAATGCAGACATTATCTGGGCTGAACGATGTGGGTTTGTCCCGGCAAAATCCTTTTATCTGCTAAGCTCCTGGAGAAGGGGAAATTCCCCTGGAATGTTGCTGTGCTGTCCCAGTTAGCTCTGTCATCAGTGATGTCATCGCAGGCCAATCACTAATTGCTGAGGTGGGGATGGAGCCCTGCAGCCGGGCTGGCAGCAGCCAGCGCCCTTCCCCGGGGGCTGGATGAGATCACTCGCAGGCCATCCTGCTGCTCGGCAATCCAACCCTCCCCACAGCTCTGCTCATGAGCTCATGTCCCCCGGGACGCCACTGAGGTCACACCAGCGGCTGCTGGCTGCTGTCGGGCCCGGCTGCTTCCCTGCCCTCCCCATCCCATCCCCATCACATCCCCATCCCCATTTCCCTGCCCTCCCCATCCCCTCCCCATTCCCATTCCCATCCCCACTCCTCTTCCCTGCCCTCCCCATCCCATCCCCATCCGAATCCTATCCCCATACCCTCTCCATCTCCATTCCCCTTCCATCCCCTCCGCATCCATCCCCCCTCCAGCCCCAACCCCATCCTATCCCATCCCCATCCCCATTCTATCTCTATCCCCATCCCTATCACCATCCCCACCCCATCCCCTCTCCCCTCCTCATCCCCCCTCCATCCCATCCTCATCCTCCCTCCATCCCCATCCTAATCCCAATCCCCACCCCATCCCATCACCATCCCTCCTCCAGCCCCATCCCCATTCCCATCCCAATCCCCACCCCATCCCCCTTCCATCCCCATCCCCCCTCCAGCCCTATCCCATCCCCATCCCCCTCCATCTCTGTTCTATCTCTATCCTCATCCCCATCCCGATCCCCATCCCATCCCTATTCCCCTTCCATCCCCATCCCATCACCATCCCCACCCCATCCCCCCTCCACCCCCTCCCCATCCCCTCTCCCCTCTCTATCTCATCCTCATCCCCATCCCCATCCCCATTCCCATTATCCCCACTCAACCCTGCACCATCCCTATCCCCCCTCCATCCCATCCCATCCTATCCCATCCCATCCCATCCCTATCCCCATCCTCTTCCATCCCCTCTCCAACCCCATTCCCACCCCCCTCCATCCCCATCCCCTCTCCCCCCTCCGCTCCCGGCCCAGCCCCCGCAGCACTCCGGGCTCGGCACCGCCCCGGTTTATGCAATCAGCACTGCGGCCTCTCCCAGCCCCGCCGCGATGCCATCACGGTTTATTTTGGGCGTTGCTGGGGCAGAAATGACAACGCTGTCACCGTGGCCCTCCACGGGCTCTGATGAAAGCTCCCAGCAAGGTAAAGGCAGCGAATTTTGCTTTCTGCTCTCATCCCTTCCACCCTCCATCCATCCCTGCTGCTGGCTGGGACAGGTCACTGCTTGCTGTCCCATTGCATCAGCCAGAGCTGCTGCATCCTGCATCCTGCTGCATCCTTCATCCTGCTGGAACTCTGCTCCAACACAACCTCTGAGCACCAAAAACCCTGAGTGCACATCTGTGAGCACAGCTGGGCACAGCCCCGGGCACAGCCAGGCTCTGGAGGTGGCAGTGGCATCGAGTGACAAACTTCAGCATCCAACCACAACTCCTGCACCCTCCCCAGGGCTGCCAGAACTCCCTTATCTCCAGTTTCCAGTGCTAACAGCAGGGTAGCAGGATTTTTTAGCAGCTAGAAACTTGGTGACAGCCTCCCAAGAGTGATGTTTTAAGGGATGCATCCCTCCCTGCAGCCCCTTAGCAGCACCCACCTGACCATAAATGTTGGCAAATTTAGAGTGATTCCAGCAGGGCAGCTGAGCATCACTTGAAGAGAACTAGAAACTTCAGGCACCTCAGTGCACCACACCAGCCCCTTCTTTAAACTAGGAAAAGTGCCAGAAAATCAGAAATAATTCTACAAAGGGCTGGTGCAGAAGTGAGGCCCTCCTTCTGAGCCAGAAGCTTGGAAAATGAGGATTGTTCCCTACAGTTTCAGCAGTGAAATTCAGATCTCTGACAGCAGGAATTTACTGCAGACAGCACCCATCAGTGGGAGCACACTCAACACATCTGTCTGCCACTGCTCAGCTCTGTTATCTCTTGGCTATCTAGGTTACACTTTTCAAAGTCAAATCTTTGTCTCAGCTGTATTTTGTCTGAAAAAATCAGCTAAAATACATTAGCTTTTTTTTTTCCTTCAAGATTAGAACTGTGTGTTATATGAAGCACAAACAAAATTATTTCTCCTGTGCATCTGATTTGGTACTACAGCTTGAAATAAGGCAAGGTCTGTTTCTGTCAGGTGAGTCTTTCTATGTCAGAAAAACCTGTGTAAATATGGGAGTTTTCTCTGGAATGCACTGTAGAGAGGTTGAAGAGCTCTCTGAGATCAGCAGAATCTTTTTGGTGGGCCTGTAAGCCAGCCCTGTGCAGGACTGGAGTGTGGGAGCTGAACTGCAGAGATTAAATAAGATATGACCTGGAATTATGGATGCTGAAGAGGGTAGGGGTAGAAAAAGCAGGAATGCTCCCATCAAGGGTTAATTCAGCCTGCCCAAGAAGTGAGGAGGGCAGTGCTGGCCCTGCTTCCTCTGAGGGAGCTGCTGCTGCTGCTGCTATCAAACACTTCATTAGCACACGTGGGGCAGGGCTGTGCTGGGATCTAATTTTAGCAGCTCTGCTGATGAGCCTCAGATACCACATGGTGAAATTTTGATTCCTTTTTTTTTCAGTGTTCAGTTAAAAACACAAGTCAATTACTGGGGTATAATCCTCTCATTTTTCTGAACCTCCCTCACCACACAGAAATACAATTTCTATACTCTAAACCAAGCAGTTCTTTTGAAAGAGGGGAATTCAGCATTTTCACACAACTGCATTTTCCCTCCTGTACATGCAGAGTTTCAGCACTGGCTGTTTTTGCATGGAATTTCTGGGTATTTTGTTACATCCTCACTACCTGATGGCAGATCTGCATCTGATCCCCTCCTGCCATTTGAGCTCTGCCCAGAGGAGCACATTCCTGGAATTTCTTCAGCCCCTTTACGACATCAGCACTACAGAAAACACTTTTAAAACCCCTTTATTTTCATGCTGCTGCCTGACCTCAGGGACAGCTTTTCTCTGCATTTTCTATATGAGAACCTGAGACACACAAAGGTCAAGGCAAGGTTGTTTTGGTGTCCAAGCTGAGGTGCTGGGATTAGATTTTTTATAAAGCACTTCATTTTCTAGATCACATTACCATTAAAAGCTGAACCCCTGACTTCAGTTTGCAGCTCTACCTGACTTCTCCAGACTCACACAGGAATTACTTGGCAAAGTAAAGGACAGGATTTAATTCTCCAGTGTAGCAACTCAGCTTGAACTTGTAGAATATTGTTCTCTTTGTTTCCTGTGAACTTTCCAGTTGCTGCAACAGCTTCTTCCAATCCCTCACCTTCATCCTTGGGGCGTGGTGATGGAGGGGAGAAGTCTCACAGAAAAATAAGATGGAACAGTGGAATTAAAAACTGAATGCCAAGCTGGACACAGCAGAGGGAATGCAAACTCCCCCAGGGCTCAGTGTGCAGCTCCTTGGCCATAAGGCTGTGCCTGCCACAAGGAACAGAGGCACAGCAAGGACTGACACGGTGCAATCAGAGTGGGGCAGGCAGCAGGAGTGAGAGAAGTTGCAATGAGGCAACTGCAAGGTGTGATTAGCACTCGAGAAAAGCTCCAAGTCTCACTTGCTCTGCTGCCAGCAGCAGCATTAGGGCATATTCTGAAACATGCTTGAAAAAGCTTTGGAGTCCTGCTGGCAATTTGGATCAGAGGAGAGCAGGCTCTGCTGAGATTCCAGGTCATGGTGCCAACAGATCAAGTGCTGGGTAGGAGCAGTAAAACAGAAAATTCCCAGATTTACACAGCAAACAGCACTGTGGCATGGAGGATGCTGGTGAAAATCCATGCAGGACTAATGAGGAGTAATGTCAAGGTGGGATTAGAGGGGAAATTGAGAATTTTAATGCCTCTGAAAATCACATCTTTTGTGTCTTAAACTGGGAAAGCACTGAAGAGCAATGATTTTTACAAAGTTCAGTAGCAGTGACTTGCAAAGCAAGCTTAGGGAGGGGGACAGAGGAGTCCACACTCCTCAGTACCTGCTCTTGTGCTTCAGTTAATTTGTAATTTTGTAAACAATGAACCCCACACTCCTGACTCTGGGACAGCACATCAGTCCCAGCTGCAGCAGGGAAAGTCCCTGCAGAACATCCTGGATGGCTCAAGAGGAGCCAAGCTCAGCTGCTCCATGAACAGTGAATCTGTTGGGAGTGAGCTCCCCCAAAGGGGACCAAGGCCAGAGAGGGGAGGGATGAGAGGCTGGGCTGTCACCTGCCTGGGAACACCTCCTACCCACAATAAATTGCACATACAATGACCAGGAACATCTTTGCCTGGGTATTTTTTATTCAACATCATCTATGAGCCAGCTCCCACTGAGTTTTTTATTGCTTCTGTATTTTTAGAGGACTCAAATGCTCCAAGAGCCTTTTTTCCCCCTTAGGACAAAAGAAAGGTGCAGTTTCAGAAGGAATATGGAAATTAATGTGCCAGGTTCCCTGGCAGAGCTGTACCCATCTATGGCAGGAAATAGGATGTGCACCTGACAAAGGTTTTTGGTCCAAGTGCAGAATTTGCAATTGCTGCCAAATCCAAGCCAAGTTTTCTCTGACCAGACTTGATGAGATGGTACTTTAAATATAAAAAGCACTAATAAAACAATCAACTGGAGCAAACCACCAAGCAAGTATTTTCAAAGCTGCAGTAAGGGGGCAATATCAGTGTTCTCCTTCTACATTTTCACTGGAAATGCAGTCCCCTGTAACTTGGCTCCACACTGAGCATACCAAGAAAATCCTTATTTAGGGCCTTTCTGATGTATAAAATGTCCATGGTATCTTTGTAGGGACACACAGATGCAAGAACTTGGGCTAACAGTTCCTTACAGTCCCATTAGGTTTGATTTCCTTTCTCCCTCCCCCCATGTTTCACTCACTTCTCCAGCTCAGATTGCTGACAACAACATGAGGAGGGGATGGGAGGCTTGCAGGCACCTGGGATTTCCTAAGTGAAATCTTTGGCAAGTGTGTCCTTTTATTATTTATTTCCTGATTTTGAATTCCACCCCCCTCAAGCTGTCATTCCTTAGCAGTGCAAATGAAAAGCTGCCCTGGATGTGTGCACAACAATGCAAGCCTCTGCAGGCCACATGGCTCCTGCAGTTTAATTTACTTTAATTCATTTTATATTGAACCAAATGATCTTATTTGCCTTTTTTAATGGAGAGCCTTCAGCCAAGCCCTCCCTTCCAAAGGAATGATGAGCTCAGCTGTTCCTGAAGCCTGTACCCAGCTCAGGGTCCCTGTCACAGCCTGGGGGCAGGGAGGGGACACCTCCAGCACGGTGGGATCCTCTGGAAACTCCCCAGAGCTCTGGGATCACTCTGATGCTGGGGTGACCTTCCTTTTCCTGCTTTTCTCTCCAACCCACAAGCTCTTCTTTCCCTGCATTCCAGCCTGACTGGAGTCTCACAGTCTCCCAGACTGGTTTGGAACCTGGGAAAGTCTGGGGTTATTTTGTCAGAATTTCAATCTTCCCTCATTCTTTGGAGGAGTTGCTCTGAATTTCTGAGTTACTCAGGCTTGGGGAACTCTGGCTGGTTGTACCCTCATAATAAAGCAGCTCTCATGCTTCACACTTCACACTTCCAGCACCAATTTTGTGTAAAGACAAACTTTTTCTGAACTTCAATTTGAGTTCACTTTCTCTCAGTTAAAGCACAAACTGATGCTACAAATCACAGCAGTTTCCAACAAAAATTGTCCTTCCTGTGATGGGCCAGACTAGGAAAACATGACCCAGGTACTTTGGATGGGGGAACTGAGTGTTCTAATCCAGATTTTTTATGTGTTTTCTTTCAAAATGAAAAGATGCATCCAACTGATGAAAGCAGAGTTTGGTGCTATTCACTGTTGTCATTGATGATCCTGATGGAACAAAGTGATGTACAGCTGACACTAAAGTGTAAGCACAAATTGGAAAGATGGATTGTATTACAAATTTGTCTTGACAGACTGTAGAAATGGTCTGGAAAATAAGGAGGGAATGAAGACAGTCCAGAAGAGAATAAAGAGATCTGGAATGAACAATCTCTGAGAAAAGACTCAAAAAATTGTTGGAGTTCAGTCTACAGACAAGAGTGAGGGGAGATACAGAGACTGATAAATAAAAGCAAAAATCACACAGTATTCAGAGAAAACCAGGATCCCAAGGAGCAGCAGGAAAAGCCAGACTAGCTTTGCAAGTGCCTTTGAACTTCCAAAATGAGGAAAATCTGAAGGGCCAGCTCAGAGGCTGAGTGCAGGATGATTAAAGTTCCCCACATCCCATCCAAGGGCAAGTTTTAGGATCCACTGCTGACTGCCAGCAGCTGAGGATTCAATCCCTGGGTGCTGAACTCCCTGAGAGTGCAGCAACCTCCACCTCAGGCTCTCTACCAGGGGAACAAGAGGCTGCTGTTCTCAGTGGTTAAATTGGCACTAAAACTTCTCACTATACAGAAAGCCCATCTTGAAAAAATGAAGCTCTGCTGAGTTAAATTCATATTTCTCCAGCAGCCTGTTACCATTAAGTGACAGCTACCCAGAAGTTCATAAACTCCAAGCTGGGCTTCAGGCAGAAATTCTGCTTGGAGGACATTGGGAGGAAGAGAATAACTTTGTCTCTGGCAAGTATTCAGAGAAAAAACTTGATAAAAATTTTGGTCAAAGTCAATGTGCATAAATTGCACCAGAAGTGTTCAAAATGAGGAAAAGGTTCCATTTAAATCCTCACCTGTGAGGGGGGTCAGCAGGCTCAGGGCAGGAGCTCAGCTATGTGATCACCAATTACCACTTCCATGGTGTCCTGTGGTCCTCCTGGAGCCCTCCCACCCCAGTTTGATCTTAAATTTGTTCCATCTCATCCTTGGCTGGATTTAAGGCTTCAGAGTTGGGGAGAGAACCCCCAAACCAAACCCAGCTCTGGTGCTGGGTGCCAGCAGTGCCAGGGGACAGTGAGACCATCCCCAACATCCTCAGATAAAAAAAAGGGCTTAAAAAAAAAGTGAGACACATTGCTCTCCAGAAAAAAGGTATTAAAAATGAAGCATCTGTGCTCTGAGTCATTACAGGCCCTTGACAGATGTGATCCTACCAGCCTCTCACTAGAGCTGCAAATAAGGACCCCTTCTCTTTCTTCTCTCCAGACAAGGATTAATGAGTACTTGGGATGGCTCTCAGACAAGCAAGCAAAGGCTGTGAACCTTTTCCAGCACTGCCATTTATCTTGGGAGGACTATTCACATCACTTCTCCCTCCCTCCCCAGCCTGGATTATGCTCTGACCCAGCACATTAATCTCCCAAAATATAATAATAATAATAGAAGGAGGGTAAAAAAAAAAAAAAAAAAAAAAAAAAAAAAGCTGGACAATTGCCAGAATTAAATTAATAACCATCTGAGATAGCCCTGCTGTGCAGGAACAAACTGCTCAACTCCCCTGCCACCCCTGTCATTTCTGAGTAAAACTATTCCCAGTTTAGATACCCCCTGAAGTGCCCTGCCTGGGAGTTCCAGCAATTCCTGCTGGTACCTGGCACCTGCAGGTGCCTTCCATCCCCACAGCTGCCAGGGGTTTCTTCACTGAATGCAAATAACACACAGTGCCACATCTGCTCCCAGAACGGGGACACTGCGTCAGGAGAATGGGGACACTGTGTCAGGACACTGCGTCCCTCCAGTGAGTGCAGGGAGAGGCAGCATGAGAGAGATGTAAAATAAAAACATATCAAAAGGTGTTTGGAATGGGAGAGGAACTTTTACAAGTTAGGCTTAGTCTACATGTGGTTTCATAAGCATTTAAATATGTGAAGCATTTAATTTTTTTTTTCTCCCATGGTAAGAACTGGTGCTGCCTTTTGTGGCTTTAGTTTAACCCAGTTATTTCTTTGACCCAAGTGGGAAGCCAAAGAGACAAATATTTGCAATTTCTTCCCAGGAAATGAGGAGGTTCCTACTTCAGAAATATGAATTTACAGAGATTACTCAGAAAACAAGACTGAAACTCAATGAGAAAAGCAATTATCTGGCTGCTAGCACTGATTCCTCCTCAAGCACTGCTCACCTCACCTCCCTGGGCTTTAATCACTGCTGGTAGCACCAAACCCGTGCTCAGGTCTGTGATGGCTCGAAAAACACCCCTCAATCCCAAAGTTTTAGCAACAGATTTTAATGTTTTTATTCTTCCATCCATACCTGGCCCTGGCACAGGGTGCCCAGAGCAGCTGTGGCTGTCTCTGGATCCCTGGCAGTGCCCAAGGCCAGGCTGGATGGGGTTTAGAGCACCCTGGGACAGTGGAAGGTGTCCCTGCCATGGCAGGGGTGGCACTGCAGGGAAGGATTTAAGGTCCCTTCTCACTCAAACCATTCCCTGATTCTCTGACTCAGGAAATGAAGAGATTCCTGCTTCAGAAATATGAATTTACAGAGATTACTCAGAAAACAAGACTGAAACTCAATGAGAAAAGCAATTATCTGGCTGCTAGCACTGATTCCTCCTCAAGCACTGCTCACCTCACCTCCCTGGGCTTTAATCACTGCTGGTAGCACCAAACCCTTGCTCAGGTCTGTGATGGCTCGAAAAACACCCCTCAATCCCAAAGGTTTAGCAACAGATTTTAATGTTTTTATTCTTCCATCCATACCTGGCCCTGGCACAGGGTGCCCAGAGCAGCTGGGGCTGCCCCTGGATCCCTGGCAGTGCCCAAGGATGGGGCTTGGAGCCACCTGGGACAGTGGAAGGTGTCCCTGCCATGGAACTGGGTGGGATTTATGGTCCCGTCCCACCCAAACCATTCCCTGATTCTCTGATTCCATGCTGCAAACATGTGGTGAAGGTAGCAGATTATCAAAACCAAAGTTTGTGCCTCAAGAAGAGTCTCCTACCTTGGACTTGACAGCGAGGATGATCTTGGGCAGGGCCACCACGAGGCATTTCAGGGCAATGGTGAGGTACTTCAGCACAAAGTCTGCAATGCCCACAATCCACATCAGGTCAAAGAAGTCCAGCCTGTCCAGGTTGGGTTTCAGGAATATCAGGCTGAAAGAGACACCAAAGCTCAAACACCAGTGAGGAGAAGCTTGCTCAAGCTCCTTGTAGGCACTGCTGGCTGGACAGAGCCCAGCAAGGGCCCTGAATTTCAGGGAAGTTCTCAAGGGCAAGAGAGGAAAACACAAATCAGGTCTGGGCTTCCTCTGGGCCTCCTGACTTTGCTCTTGGTCACTCCTACACGGGTCAGCAGGCTTGCCCAGTGTCATAAAACAGGACCCAGGCACTCAAAAAGTCTGTTTGGAATCCAGCAGTGTCCATAACCTGGGGTGCTGACAGTGCCCTCAGTGCAGAGTGAGGGATCTGGGTGTCACAGCTTATCCTGGCAAGTCCTGCTCAGAACAATCCTGATTCCCTGGGCAAGGGAACACCCCCTCAGGCTGCTCTGCCACAGGGGCACAGTCCCCAAACCCACTGGGCACATCTAGCAAAGGGGTGACACAGGACACCCTGCACCAGCCACGGCAGAAAGGGGAGAACTTCACACTTTGTGTCCTGCCCTGACAGTGCCACTGCCTGAAGCACTGCAAGAGCTGGGCTCTGTTAATATTCTTACCTGAACCAAAGATCCAAAAATTAATGCCCCTTACATAATGTCATTTACTGGGCTGAACATTTGCTGTTTGAAAAAGTGGAGCCTGGGACAGCAGAATTTCACCCAGCAATGGGCAGGAGCTACTGGCCTGAGCAATAATGAGAACTAGACTCTAGTCAGGTTGAAAAAACAGGATTCACCTTCAGGGTTTTCCCTGCTAAAGCCTCATGGTAGAAAGTTTTAACAGAAAAAAACCTCAAACAAAATTAAAAAAAAAAAAGTAAAGTAACCAACCCAAAACGAAAAGCCTGAACATGAAATTAAAATACTCACAACACTGGCACAGCACAACAGGTAAAATTACACCCTAAAAACAGAAACAGAATCAGAAACTTTACTACTATTCATGCACTAGAAACAAGAAAAAAAAATCAGGAAATGAAAAATGAGAGAAAGAAACAGAACTGAAGCAGACATTTCTAATTTGACAAGCCTGGCCTGGGAATAGTCCCAGGTCTGGCAAGCAAGGGATGCAGCAGCCTGAGCATGACAGCACTGCAGCACTCACAGGAACAGGGCTCTTCCTGGAGCTGTGGCCCAGCCTGCCCACTGGTAATAAACCACACTCTAAACTGTCTGTAGGATGGCCCCAAATTGCTAAAATCCCTTTATTTTAGATAATCTACCCTTTATTTTGAACTAGTCCCATTCATGCTTTTAACCTTGGCCACCTTCTCAGAGACACCCTGTGTGCAAACATTTCACTTCCAGACCTTTCTGCCACTCCTGTCCCTCCTTTCCCACTCCTTCCCACAAGCTCCATCCAGACAATCCCATGGCTTGGCCTCTCCCCTTCAGCCCCACATTCAAACCTCCTCAGCTCTCCCCCTTTCTCTGCTTATTGTATGCTTAAACCCGTGATTATTCCTCTCTGCTTTACATTAAGTTGTGATTCAAATCCATGAGCAGAAACCTTTCTGTATTTGAGAACTAACTCAGTCAGGATTTGAAATCTTAATTACCTCAGATCCAAGAGTCCTGAGAACACTGGGGTAAAACTATTTCATCTCCTGTCCTACACTCCAATCTGGATGGACTGAAGAGGAAAATCAGTGGGTCAGTTCATCAACTGCCCTTGATGTTCAGCTGCAGTGGTCACAATGGGAATTCAGAGGGCATTTTTGGAAAGGATCCACCCTGCTTTGACACCATCACACCCTGGCCCAGTTATACACCAACTCAAGTGTAAGCAGTGTAAGTTACACACTGCTTATGTCCTTTACTGACAGGAGCATGGTAGGGTGACACACACATCCTTTTCCTGCACTGGAGGGTATTACAAAGATGTAACAAACACAGCAGATCCTTCAGGATCTTCTCCTCCACAGTGTGGGGGAGAAGTGGGATTCCCTCTTTTCCCCCCTGGCAATGATCCCCTGCTCCCACCCTGCACAATGCAGGTTTTGCTCACCTGTTGTACAGCTGCTGGGAGCTGAATGTGTACAGCAAGTACAGGGTGTTTCCAGTGAGGAAGGCCAGGATCCAGAAGACAACCAGCACTGATCTCTTCTCCTGAGCAAGGAAAAACAGCAGAGTTATTGCAGCTCAAAATCTCAAGACTTGAGCTGAGCCTTGCTGAAAAATCCAACAAATATGTAACAAAGTGCTCAGTAATTAGTTATTTACACAGGACTAAGAAGTAGTCTGCAAGGTAAAGACATCTATAAACACAAGCAGAAATGCTTCTCACTCCTGCAACATTTTCAATGGAAAATAATTGAAATCAGCTGGTGAAAATGACAGAATTACTTGCAGAATGCATCTTCAAAGATGGGATCTTTCTTGGGACACCTAAAATCTCCTGAGATTTAAAATGCACATTAATAAAAGTCCATTCCATGTATTGTCCTAAATTCTGAGCTGTCACCTGGCTGGAGTGACAATTCATGGTGTTTTACAGGGGTGTTTTATAAAAAGACCCAAAGCCACTCAGTGGAAGGCTCAGCTAAATCAAATACACTCCACCACCACATGCAGCACATCTGGGTGCTATCCTAAAGCATGGTGCTTCTGGAACATTCATTTGTGACTGAACAAATAATTAAAGGTCAAAAGAAGTGGAAATTTTGCATTTCAACATACATGGAATGTTACAGACAAGTTGGATGGCAGAAGACACTGTCCTGGGTCTTGGCCCTTGGTAACTTTGGGGAGTAAATTTTATTCCTGAGAGGAAATACACCCACCATTTGTCTTGTGAGCTGATTTATTAAGAAAGGAGGTCTCTGTAGCTGTCCAGCAGCCAGGCCTGCTGTGCTGAGATTTAAAGCAGGCAGATCAAGGGGCACAGTGCTGGAAGGGCAGAGGTGCAGAGTGCAAGGCAGCAGCAATCTGTTACTGGGCTGTGCCACTGCTCTGCTCACTCAGGGCTGGATCTCACTGATTCCACTGCTCCTGGCACACACAGGCATGCACTTGTGTGGATAAAAAAGCAATTCTAGCTTTATGCTTTTGGTGCTGTTGAATTGTTCTCCTGACACAGAAGATCAGAAAACCTTGAAAAGATCTGCTGGTTTCTTTACATTCTAAGCACATTAATGCCCAGAGCATTATAAAACTACTAGCAAGCAACACATCTATGAAATCTTTCAGCTGAACATCTCAAAGCATTAGCTAAATGCTAATTGGCAAAATCTCATCATTAATAAGTCAAATAGGCTTCAGCATCTCTGCTGTACATGATGGGAAAACCAAGGTGCAGAGAAGGGCTGGAACAGGCACAGCCAGGCAGAGGCAGATGAAGATTACAACATCCCTGACCTGTCCTTTTTGTTTCATTACACCACATTTCACAAAAAAGCAGGGCAGAGACTTTGGGAGAGGCAGGAAGGAGAAGACAGATCTGTGCACAAACAAATGCATTCAGCCCTACACTGCAATCAAAGGTTCATCACAGATGCTATTTTGTGCATGGAAAATGATGCTTGCTGGGAACAGGAGTGTTGGAATCCAAATTGCAGGGAATTCTCAGAACTTTGGGCCTGTAAGCCAAAGTTTAGAATTAAAATGGGTTTTGTTTTGAGACCTTGGAAAAAGCTTCCAAACTTAGGTGCTAGAAGTGAGAATGTGGATTTATAGTTTGAAGTAGAGACACATTAAGTGGAGGAAAGTTTGGAGTTTTATAGTTTAAATTATAGAAAAAATAAAAGTAGTTACAAAGGTAAACAAGGAGTTTAGAATGCAGTATTGTAGTCTGTGTGTCATAACATGATCAGCTAAGAAAGCTTACACTGTAGCATGGATCCGTAAGATGAAAATCCATAAGGACTGAGTCAAAAACATAAATATCCTTGTTAGCAGTGTTTTATTAGTCAATAAATCATTAAAAGGTCCTGTAACCAGGGGTCTTGTGACCCTCTGAACCACCTTCTGACCTTCTCACATCCTGTAAAGATGTGAGCTGAACTCAGCCTTCCTATCTATGCAGAAAATAAGAAAATAAATGGCATCATCTAAAAACCTCAGAGGTCCTGTCTCTAACTCATTGAAAACTCCTTCAAAAATCCCCACACAGAAAAAAGTAAAATGCCAGACTCACCTTCAGAGCCACCTGCTCTCGAAGCGTGGAGTTGGCGTAGGCAAAGGTGCTGGCCATGCCAATGCACACAGCAATTCCTGCAGGGAAAGGCTCTGTCAGACACAAACTGCTGATGCTGTTGGACTGGATTTCACACCCAGCACCCTCCCTGCAAGACAGGAAACCTTCTGTCTGAACCCTTCTGTGCCACACAGAAAGCTTTGCTGTCCCCAGGGTGAGCTCTGCCCATCTCTCCTAGAGAGAGAAGCCTTGGTAACATCCTGAGGAATGTCAGGGAGAAATCAGGGAAAGGAGCAGTCCTGGTCAGGACAGGAAAGAGATGGATCTGACCCTGATGAAAATAGCTTGGACTGAAAGTAGGGGGGATTTATCACAAATTTATCACATGCATTTGAGTATGTTCCCTTCATGCTAAACTCCATCTGGACACTGCAATGTTGATAAATATATCAGACATCAGAGCCTGATAAAATCTCCTAACCTTTCTATAATCACAGCTCAAAAAGGATGGATGCATCTGTGACTGTTCACAGGGGTATGAGGATGAGGGAAGAGATGAGGATCTGACTCCATGTTTCAGAAGGCTTGATTTATTATTTTATGATATATATCATATTAAAACTATACTAAAAGAATAGAAAAACAGATTTTATCAGAAGGCTAGCTCAAAATAAATTAAAAAAAGATAACAAAAACTTAGGGCTCGGACAAAGAGTCCAAGCCAGCTGACTGTGATTGGCCATTAATTAAAAACAACCACATGAGACCAATCACAGATGCACCTGTTGCATTTCACAGCAGCAGATAATCATTGTTTACATTTTGTTCCTGAGGCCTCCAGCTTCTCAGGAGGAAAAATCCTAAAAAAAAAAGGATTTTTCATAAAAGATATCTGTGACTTGCATCAGATATCACAGCCTGAAAAATCCCAACCACCCGCTAACCACAGCTCAAAAAGCTTTGACGAATACTCACCAAGCTTGTGCTGGAAACAAACTTTAGCCAGGAGGATCAAGATGAAGGGAAGCCCCTTCTGCAGCCACCCAACGACAGCTTTGAGCTCGGAGAGAGCCGGGGCCGGCGTCCCGGCCTGTTCCTCGGCGCCCTCCTCGCCGTGCCCGTGCCGCTCGCCGCCCGCCATGTGCAGCAGCGAGGAGCCGCGGTGGTGCCCGTGCTGGAAGGGATGCGCCGGCGCCCGGTGGTGGAACGGAGCCCCCTCAGCCCGGCCGGCACCCTCATCCCTCGGGGCCGGCATCTGGATGAAGACTTCTCCCCCTCCGGCCGCCGAGCCCAGCACCAGCCCGGCCGGGAAGGGCGCGGCGGCGATGGAGGCGGCGGGCAGGCCGGCCAGCCCCGAGAAGAGCTGCTGAGGGGACGCGGCCTCGGCCTTGAGGCTCTCGAACACTCCGCTCTCGTCCACGCTGGCCTCAGAGCTCAGCGTCTGGCTCCGGCTCCTGCAAAGGGCACAGACGCGGCATGCAGTCAAAATGAGAGTATAGACCCAGGGATTCAGTCAAAAGAGGGGCAGAGACCCCAGGGATGCAGTCAAAATGGGCTACGGACCCCAGGGATTCGGTCAAAACAGGGGCACAGACACGGGATGCAGTCAAAATGGGGGTACAGACCCCATGATTCAGCCAAAATGGGGGCACAGCCAAAACGGGGTACAGTCCCGAGGGATTCACCCAAAATGGGGGCACAGACCCCATGATTCAGCCAAAATGGGGTGCAGACCCCAGGGATTCAGTTCCCAAAACCGGGGAACAGACCCCAAGGACTGAGCCAAAACAGGGGCGTAGACCTCAGGGATTCACCCAAAATGGGTGTATAAACCCCAGCGATTTAGCCAAAACAGGGGGTACAGACCCAGGGACTCAGACTACATGGGCTAAAGACCCCAGGGATTCACCCAAAACAGGGGCACAGACAAAATGGGGGCACAGACCCTGGGATTCAGCCATCATGAGGGAACAGACCCCAGGATTCAGCCAGAACAGGGGCACAGAGCCAGGGATTCAGTCAAAATGGGTGTATAGACCCCAGAGATTCAGCCAACATGGGGGTAACAGACCCCAGGATTCAGCCAAAACGAGGGCACAGACCCCAGGGACTCAGCCAAAAAGGGGGCACAGACCCTGGGGATTCAGCCAAATGGGGTACAGACCCCAGGATTCAGACAAAACAAGAGCATAGACCCCAGGGATGCACCCAAAATGGGGTGCAGACTCCAGGGATTCAGCCAAAATGGGGGCACAGAACTGGGTGCTGGTTTAGCCCAGCCCTCAGTGCAATGATTCCTCACTCTCTCTGCTTGGGGGTTTATGTACAAAATCCTGAATGGGATGGGACTGCTGCATCTCGAGCTGTTTATTCTCCAGCATCACTCTCATTATTACATGGTTATGGCAATGGGAGGATGCCAGCAGCTCATTTTCTTGGCAGTAGCCAAAGAACTCAATGTTACAACTCACTTTAAAAGTTTTTTGACCAATCACACAAAGCAAAAGCACATTGACAGTAGTTCTATCCAACCACTATAAGCACAAGTACCTTTGGTTAAACAATACTTGCTTATTTCAAATACAATACCTGCTTGTAAACATTAAAATGCAATGCACAGAGATCCATTTTTAAGCTTAGAACTCCCTAATATCTCGCTAGAATGTACTTTTCTGCAGCTTAGGGAGTTATTCTAGCCAAGCATTAATACACAGATCATTGCTCTATTTGTCCTTACTTTCTTCATCTCATGTAACTTTTCTGCTGACAAGCCTTATGGCTACTGCTTAGCTCTAATCACTGTTCTGCTGTCTCTGAGGCCTGCCTTTTGCAGCTTCCCCCAAACTCTCTGATTTTAAGGATTCCCACTCAGAACACCAAGGCATCCAGATGCTTTTCCCTGTATTTTCTGTAGAGAAGTCACAGCTGCAAAACTGGAGGTCACCAGTAACCAGGTAACCAGATCAGAGCCTCTCCAAACCTGACCAGAACACATCAGCTCCCTCACCAAGGAATGAAGCTCCAAACACCCTGCTTGCTTTTGGAAAAAACAAAGAAATAATACATCCAGAACCAAATCCAGTATCTTCCATAATGATTTGGGTACTTAAAGAAAAACATACAAAACTTCATGGAAACTGACACAGCACCACCAAGTCCAGTCATACTATAAACAAACTAACTAACCAGGCTAACTCAAAGCAATGAGCTACCCCCAAAATCCTCTGTAATTTGGGACAATCACTACCTGCCCACTGATTAACAGCACCAGAAGAGACACAATCACCAGGGGAAGAGAAGTGTTGAGAGCTGCTTTGTGTGTCCCTGACCTGACACAAAAGTGAAGGATGTGCTCATGGGTCCAGATAAATTCTTTATTTTTATATTTTTGGTGAATTGGGCATGGATGTGCCCAAATTACTGTGCAGAACTAGTTCTGGTATTGATTCTTTCCTAAGCATGTTGGAATACAGCCAGATTCCAAAAAGAAAGTCTAAATACCTTTATCCTGACATCAAAAGACAACAGGGTTTTTTTTCTTCACTAGAAATCAATACAAAGAAAGCTTAGTTGAGAGGGAACAAAGCAGGTAACAAGAATATGATCACCAGGCCCTGTCAGTAAATACCTGACAGACAACAAACACTTGTCTAACCTGCAACAGCAGAGTAAACAACAAACAAACCCCAGAAAGAGGCAAAACCCACAAGCAAGGCATGGTGCAGAGCTTTGCTCCCTCCTGGTTTGAACCCTGGGAGATCTCTAACTTTAGGAACAGTGGTTACAAGTTGCGACAGCACACCCAGGGCCCTCAGCCCTCTCTCCCCCATGGTTCCAAAGCCTCCCCAGGGCACAGAGCTCTGCCTTCCACCTCCCTCTAGGGACACCCTCAAACCTCTTTGGCCAAACCTTCCCACTAAGCAAACTCCTAATAAGGGTTTTTTTATAGCTGCACCCCATTCCCACTGCATCTCCACAGGCTCCTGCAGGGAATCAAGTCAACAAGACATTGCATACCTTGTTCTGGTCCAAAATATTCATCAGCCAGGCCTTTAAATTCACACCTAACATTGCAACTCAGGGATGTACACACAGCTCAGGGCTGGGAATGTAACAAACAGTCTGGGAGGAACCCAGGGCTACAAATACAGAACTATCCTTTGGAATAATATTGGAGTGTGCTTTCAGCAGGAAGGAATTCATCTGTGACATATTTAAAAACAAACAAGGGTTGTTTGTTGAAATTGTGAGGCTGCTGAAGTTAACAGAAGTGAAGACCAGTGGCAACAGCATTTCCTTCTACAGTTAGAAAAACTTCAGCCTCTGTTCCTGATTATGTATTTACCATTGGAAGCATCATGCAGAAAAAACCTGAAGATGGCTTTCTTTCCCCCTGAAATTAGAAATGGTACCATGCTAGCAATGGCCATGACATAAAGCTTCAACTCTAATTGCAAAACCACTATAGAAAATATTTACTAATGATCTTTCACTTTTAATCTCAGCTCAAACAGAGCAATTAAATATATTAGTTCCATCTTTGTCTTGGAGTAATTAGATTAGTTTCTTCTTTAGGAATAAAAATAAAAAAGTCATACTCTAACTCTGGGAAAGCACCAGGGAATATTTAGTACCAGAACAACAGTGGCAAGGCTCCCTTGCTGATGGTGTAATTACAGAAACAAATTAGAGGTATTCTAAATACCCACATACATGGAGATAGATAAAGACTCTGGGAAAATGTAAAGGAAGATGTAAACTCCTTATAAATAAAATCACTAACTCAGAGTAGTTGGGAGCTTCAGACCAGCAGACTCTTTAAACACCTCAGTAAGAGAAGTGTGAATGGCTCCTGTTCACACAGGTCCATCCTTGCACACTGACAGTGCTCAGGTGCCATAAATCCATCCCTTCCTCCAGAGCTCCACAATCCTGCCCAGCTCAGCCAGATGTCTGCCAATTGTGCCATCCTGGGTCACCTTGAAACACTGTGGCTGGCAGCAATCAGTGAGTGACAGCAAGGAGAAAAGTAAACTTGTCTCTAGAATCCCCAGACTCGAGCAGAGAGCCTGGCCACACCACACACACAGGAATTTGACTTCCTCAATTTTGAGCTTTCATCTTCTAAAACACCCCCTATGTTGGATTAAGCCATTTCCTGACCCAGAGATGGGGCAACTGAGAGGAGTTTTAAAACCTTTTATTCCATTTTCTCAGTCTCATGAGAAGGGTGAGACAATACAGGTGTTATAATTCACACCATCACAATCAGAAGCCAATTATTTCCTAATTACAATACACTGTGTTTCTTGGCCTATCAGCTTTTGCCAGAGGAAAAATGTGAAGAATGTGTCTGGGTCAGAAAAAGGCTTAATCTGACAGCCCTACTGTTAAACCAGAACCCTCCTCTTGGGGAGGAACCTGGAGGGAAGAAGAAGGGGAAGCATTTACCTTTCAGGAGGCACGCTGTCCGTGTTGCTGCTGTGCCGCCTCTGCATTTTCCTCAAAACCCTAAAACACAGCACGCTCAACATGAACCCTGTGGCTCAGCAAATCCCAGAGTGGCTACTGGCACAGGCCCTGGGGGCAGAGGGCACTGGGACCCGCTCAGCTGGGGACATGGCTGGCAGCAAGCATTGGTTTCTGTGACAGAGCACCTCCAGCTCCCATTTGTTTCTCAGCACGCTTGAAGGGACAGCTTTGGATGGCAAAGGGGGGCACACAGGTGTCCAGGCTGGGCAGGAGTCACTCAGAAAGTAGCAGTCACCAGGAGGGATGGCATGTCCTGGCAAGGGACATGGGGACACCTAACAGTGGCTCTCGAGGTGACACGGGACTCAACAGCCTCTGGGGAAACCAAATCCAGTCTTCCTTCTCTGCAGGAACTTGCTCTGCAAAGCAAAACTGAGAGGGAAGAAGAAAAAGAAAATGTGTAAACACTTCTAATGAAAAAAAATACTATTAGCTCATGACAATATTCTTTTAAAAAAGCAAGTCATTCATTTTAATCTACAGAAATAGCATTTGCAAAGTCTGGACAATAGGCCCAGAGTACAATAGCTACTTAATAAAATGTACAGACTAAGATGTAAATACTCTTGAATATAAAAGGTTATAACATTATTCATAACACATGTCAATATATACATAGATGTGCAGCCCATGTGTAAAGGCACAGTGGCTCTGGGAAGGTTTGCCAGCTGTCTCCAAGCACAGTACCTAAGAACAGCTTTATGCAGAGGTGAAAGGTGCCACTGGCAGAGATGGAAGCCCAGGAGTGTGCAGACATTCACAGATGGAGTGCTTCAGACAGTCCAGGACAGTCCAGATTCCAAACTCATCCCAGGTCCTTCAAGGAAGTGACTGTCAGCACCTGGCCCTGGTGCTCACACAGGGACACCTGGAGGAAGCACACACAGAGAGCAATTTTCAGCACAGCACAAAGAGTTTTACCTCTGCATGTCCCTGGGAAAGGCAGAGAGGTGCAGGAACCCTCGGTGCTTCAAGCTCTGCCCACATGCATGGCCCAGCAAAGCTGTTTGCCTGTGGGACTGGCACCTGCAGCCTTGCTGCCCACACAGGCACTCCCTGGGAGTGCTCCCAGAGCTGCACTCTGCCTTCAGTGTGTCCATACACACCTTTTGTCACACACACGTGTGTGTACATGTGTCTGGAATAAATACAGACATCAATGTATTTATATATACATGCTCTTGTATCACAGAACATTTAACACACATATTATATATACTTTATATATCCATCTATACATACACATATGTACAAATGCACGTGTATATACATATCTATGTATGTGTATACACATATATATACACAGACTTACATATACATAGATGTATAGGTATAGATCTGTTAATGTATACCTACATACCTATCTATTAACAATTCTATACATATATATGTGTATATACATATATATACAGACATCTATTAATACAGTTCTATATATATATCTACATATACACATCTATATACACACACATATGCATAGTTTACATATCTAGATATACATACATATCTATGTATAGGTATACATACATGTATATACATATATAGAGAGACATACCTATTAATACAGTTCTATATATATATATACACATATACAAATCTATATATATACACAAATACATCGTGTACATATATAGATATACATACATATATATGTATAGATATACAAACATGTATATATGTATATATACACAGAAGTATCTATTAACACAGTTCTATACCTATACATACATATATACGTCTATATATACACATACATATATACATGATATACATATATAGATATACACCTATATACCTATATAGACGTAGATATACACACATGTATATATAAATATATGCAGAAGTATCTACTAATACGGTACTATACATACATATACACATCTGTAAATACAAATATATATATGTATACATAGTATACATATATAGGTATGCATACCTGTAGATACATCTATCTACAGACATATCTATTAATATGATTATATACATACACATAAGTATATACATCTATATATACACACAGTATATATATATACACTCATATATATAGGTATACACATATATATAGTTATACATACATGTATATACATCTATATATACACACAGTATATATATACACTCATATATATAGGTATACACATATATATAGTTATACATACATGTATATACATCTATATACAGAAATACCTATTAATACAGTTCTATACCTATACATACATGTATATATATGCATACATATATACATGGTATACATCCATAGATATATACATATATGCACACAGATACATACACACATATATATATGTGTGTATAGGTATATATATGTGTGTGTGTATATATATAGATGTATATGAAATTAAACCATACAATTCTATACGTACACGCATATATACATGCACACACAGACATAAGCCAGGCCTTTTTTCCGGTTGGGTGGGGGAAGGAGGTTCCCGCTGGACTCCGTGGCGCGGTGCCGCGTACCCAGCGGCTCGGCCCGGTTCTGCCGGGGGTGCCTGGTGGTGCCAGTGCTGCCGGTGCCGCTGGTACCGGGGCCGGTGCCGCCGCCGGTGCCGCCCCGCGCACGCCCGGCCGCGGTTTCCGCCCGCCCCGCCCGCCGGCGGAAGCGCTCGGGCCGCGCTGGGGCCGCGCTGGGGCCGCCCGGGGCTCGCTGCGCCCGCCGGTGATGCCGGCCCCGGGCCCGCGCTGCCCCGAGCCCGGCCATGGTGCCCTGCGGGGCCGTGCTCTGGCGGAGGCTGCTCCGGAAGCGCTGGGTGCTCGGCGTCGTGTTCGGGCTCTCGCTCGTCTACTTCATCAGCAGCACCTTCAAACAGGTCAGTGCCGGCCGGGCCCCGCGGCCGCGGCTGCGTTAGAGCTGCCCGTATGGCACGGGGAGTCTCGTTCTCCAGGTGCTGTCACCGCACCCTGGGTAATAAAGAACGACGGTATAAATATTTAATGGATGCAAGAGTTTAAAATTGGAATGTCTGATGCTGTGTTTGGCAGTAACAGCGGTTTGAACCAAAACTGGGAAAAGAAAGTCTCCACTGGGTTTGGTGGGTGTTGTTGTTGTGTCTCTTGGGAGTGGTGGTTCCACTGGCAAAGGGGTCATGAAAGAGAAATATGTTCAGCTATTATATTTAATATAAAATATACTTTGTATATTTATATATTATATATTATCTATTAATACATACTATATTATTGTATATTAATACTATATAAATATATATTATATTAATGTATTTAGATATTTATTTTAATATAAATAAAATATCTATATAAAATATATTTAATATAGCATATACTTTACTATAAAATATACATATAAAATATGTTCAGCTATTATATTTAATATAAAATATACTACTTTTGTGGTTGTAGTGACCAAGTTCAGCTGTGTTAGCTGATCCATGGTGAACTGGAATACCCTGACTTTACTGGACCGTGTGTCTTCCTGTTGAAGTATGAAGTAAAATACTACAAGTAGTAAATTGTTTGCAATATTGATGGTGGAATTTCCTGTGCTGGGGAGTTTACAAGTACTGAGCATCTTTAATGCTGTGAGAGGCACGTGGATTGAAGTGGCAGGAGGAACTGGTATGTTTGGTTGCATTCCTGTTTTTCCTTGCAGGAAGAGAGGATGGTGAGAGATCGGACTCTCCTCCAAGTGCAGGAGCATGAGCAGCCCATCATGTGGAAGGTGAAGTTCAGCTCGGGGAACAGCAGTCAGCTGAGCAACCAGTGCAGGAACTCTGTGCAGGGGAAGCTCCTCATTACAGATGAACTGGGTACAGTTGATATTTAGTTGAATTTATTCTGCATGTGGCAGTGCTGAATGCTGCTTTGCCTCTCTGACTGCTGCTGATGGCACTTTGATGGAACAGCTGCTCTTTATTAAGGCATTTTCACTCAGCCCTTGGCCTGTTCTCCTCTGGCTGCCTGAATTTCACTGTGGCTGCAGGTGCTGCTGCTGTGGTTGTGTGCACACCACACTCAGGCTCAGGGCTGTGTGTGACCACCTAAAAGTCAAAGAATTCCAGTTACTTTGCACAGGACCCAGGCATTGAGTCCTGCTCAGTTTGCTGTGGCTGCTTATACAGCTCTCTGTCTCTCCCTCTGCTGCTGTCAGGAGGTTTAGGGAGAGCAACTGAGGAAACCTTGGCCTTGCATGGAGGCAGCTCAGGGCTGGTGGTGTAATTAGTGCTCAGTCACAGTTAACGAGCTTGTCTGACCTTGTAAACCCAAGGTTATTAACCACTTGTTCCAAGCAGTAGAAGTTAAAGACTTTCCTGCCCTGCACTGTGGTTGTTGCTGAGACCTGGCTCTTTCTTGGCCACAAATCAGGCTACAGAGAACCCACCACATCTTTTGTGATTTGCATCAGTGTTACATTTGGCACTGCCTGACTTAGGCTTAGTGCCAGTTCATAAGAGCTCTAAAAATTACAGCTCTCTCACTGTCTAACGCTGTGGTAGTACCATTTACATATATTTAATATGGTGTATATTTTATATTCTATAATATACACCATATTTCTATACTCTTAAGGATTCTGCTCAGCAATGAATATTACACTGTCCTGCATGGCTAAATCTAAGTCTCTTCATACTGAACTGTAAGAGAATTATCCAGACACAGAGGTGTTGCAAAAACATTTATCATGGTTTTTTTCCAATACAATCAATGCCAATCTCATTTCCCCTTTCACAACAAGGAACTGTGCCCCAAAAAAGTCAAAACTGAAATAATCTGCATTTAAATACTCGTGGTGTATGTAGAGCACATATTAGAGTAGGATGTGATAGCTGTGCAGATAACACCAGGCTGTAATCTACTAAATAACAAACAAACCTGTTCATAAGGAATGTGATTCTTGCTTAGACTTGGCTCTTTCTTGGCCACAAATCAGGCTACAGAGAACCCACCACATCTTTTGTGATTTGAACCAATGTTACATTTGGCACTGCCTGACTTAGGCTTAGTGACAGTTCATAAGATCTCTAAAAATTACAGCTCTCTCACTGTCTTAACACTGTGGTAGTACCATTTCTATATATATTTAATATGGTGTATATTCTGTAATATACACCATATTTCTATACTGTTAAGGATTCCACTCAACAATGAATATTACCCTGGCTAAATCTAAGTCTCTTTATACTGAACTGTAAGAGAATTATCCAGACACAGACCCGTTGCAAAAAGGTGTGTTGTGTTT